AGTATTTGTTCTTTTTGCTTAGCCGGCCCGCTCCTACTTAAAAAGGGGGCGGCGCATACTCAATTAAGGGAGTAAGCTCCGACTCCTAGCTACTTTAGCTACATATGGACGTGGGATAGCTCACGCATCCTTGAAGTGCTCGCACTAATGATTTGCTTTCTAGATTGATTGTTCTGTTTTCGATACTTAACTTACCCCCAGAGTTCCAGAAGCCAAGGCTGGCTGAGTTGCCGATTGGCTCCGTGCATCATCCCTATGTTGAAGAGACAGAAGGGATGACATTGGTCATATAGGGCAGCGATTCAATGTGTAGGGCCTCCAACCCTTGACCCAATACATTCTATGTGTAGGTCCTATTGTCATAGGTTGGACTCGGTTGGACATTAGTCAAGGGCGGTGTCACGTGCAACTTCTCAATTCTTCCGTGGCTGTCCTTCCAACCGTGGCCTGTCGTAGGCCAAGACCGCCTGGGTGTTTACTCCGTGTGTGTCTTGGCACTCCGCGGGCACGAGTCACGTCAGTGTCCAGAGGGAGAGGGTACTTTAGCCAAAGACTCGCCACATGCAATGCATTCATGCATCCTAAGAAACTCTTTAGATAACCCCGTTTGCAGCAACTGGTTAGATGTTTGGTTTGCTGCCAGTTCTTTGGCTACAAACAAGTCAAAAAAACTATTCATATTACGTACCTGATGTGGCAATACGGCAATACCCCAAAATGGACACTCTTAGGCTTTCACTCGAAGCAAATGGAAGCCAGTTGCCTTTATCGCCTTTATTCTCCAAGTTTTGATGATCCTAGCGCTTCCGCCATCGGCCACCAGCCACCGCATCTCAACACCGCATCTTCCGTTGAAGTTGCAAGGTGCGATGAAAGATACGGTGCCAAGACATGTGCATGTGGGGGATGCTTGGGTCTTTTTCTTTGGTGCCTATATTCGGAACAGTCATGTGCCTGCCTCCTGTTGGAAGAAAAAGGTTCGAAACTGTGGGGAAGAACCTGGCCATGCTGGATTCATCCTCCGCAGTCGCATCCACCACATGGCCCTGTAGTCACCACTTCCAACCACCACGTTAAGTGAAAACAAACGGAATTTAAGCAGATCGGTTCTGATCCATCCGGCGCTTCACTGTTTTCCTCCAATGCCCAGTTTGCACATGGCCTTTAAAGACCCCCCAAATAGATTAGATCCCTAGATCCCACTATTGGAAACCGTGCCACCGCCCTCTATTTGGGGATCACTGGGATCACTCTATTTTGTTTGGGAGACCTAGAGCAGCGCCATTCGCGATGGCCCTGAGGTGCCTTCTTGGCCATGGCCCTCTACTGGATCCTCCTCTCAGACCTGGCCATCTTCTCCATGCGGATCTCGGCCTTCGTGCCTCGGACCGATCACCGCAGCCATCGGAGAGTCCGTATAGAACTGCCGGTCGCACACCACTCTCTACCACCTGAGGTACGTAAGCACGCCACTCTCTCTCTCTCTCTCTCTTTCAGTTGGGACGGAAGTGACTGTGCAAATTGTGCAAATTGTCCATCTCATGTGGTTCCAAGTGTGTCCACAACTCCTAACTCAGTTAGCGGGCAGTATATTTATTGCTGTATTCAGGCAGATGTTTGTATATGACATTTATATATATATATTACTGTATTCCTTCTCTATTAGGAAAGAAAAAAAGACACTGGCCCCAGTCTTTGGCCGCACCCCTGACTTTATCAATCTCCTTTCTACAAGACATATTATCAGAATAATAACCATGTGATAACATGCGTATATAACCGTAACTGTTTTGAATGGCGGAGAGATGAAGCCCCAGGCGCTAGGTTCTTTGTTGAGGTTAGTCGGTTGGGTTAGTCGGTTGGTCCAATAGAGCTTGGGTCAATGATGAAGCCCTAGGACTCCAAGCACCTTCTTACCAGGTGTTTGGGAAGGGTTTAGAGGGTCCAAGTACCTTCTTACAAGGTACGACTGGAGCCTAGGGAAGTACTATGTCGCCAGGGTCACTCCCCCAATTACACATGACCACTAAATCCGGGTTCGCTTCGTGCCGAGTCGGCGGTTCGCTCCGCCACACTGCAGGTCCTGGTTTGCGGACGGGTCGTGGTAGAAGTGGGACTATTCCTCACCGCGCTCCTTCTGTTGATTTTGGCCTTTTGCTCCTTGGACCGGTCCCGATGTCGAAGAAACCCCTTGAACCTTGAAGCGTCGGTCCTTCGAAGCACCTGTTAAAGAAAAAGCTCCCAGAACATGAGAGCTAGTCTGAATTTCAGTTCAGTTCAGTAGCTGATGGATAAGCACGGAGCTCGTTGATTGGGACATGTTGCACCAAGGGTGAGCGGATTGAGATATATGATATCATGAGGTATCCCATGCCGGTTTACCCAACAGAAAGTCAAGTGACAACTTGGCGTCATGGATCAGCAGTTTTCATGGGTGCTGGAGCAGGCATTCGCGAGAGATGGTTCTACATGAGAGATTTTGCGGATGACCGCTTGCTGTGTCGTCAGGATGCTCGCCGTCGGGTTAAAATTCTGTGGGCCGCGGCCGTCTCATCCCCAACAGAGGACTCCTGAAATCATCTGAAATCGCCAATCAGCACACCTGAAATCGCCAAGCTGCAACGCGAACGGACGAATCCCACGGGTCTCGAAGGTCGAATCCACTGAGTCTCCAATCCACAAAGAGTCTCGACTTTTTGCCCCAAAATCCAGCGGCGTGGTGCCTAGGCACGGCCATCAGCACTTTGTACTACGAGATGCCCATCAAAGAGGGTGCCCACGTGTGGCTCGAGGAGCGTCGACATGCCGCCCCAAGGCCAAGCGCCTTGGAGTTAGGCCCTCTAAACCACCGTTATTTGTGTTCTGAACGTATTAAACAGCGTTCCTTTCGCATAGCAGTGGCCACTTACATAATGGTTCTTGGGATTGGCGGTGTGGTTTTGCCAAGAGGGTTTGAAGAGACATGCAAAGCAACTCCCAAGGACTCCCCGATCACCCTTCGTATGTTTGGCCCTTCATTTCGGATAGAAGCGGTGAGCCCCCCCAACACGTGCAAAGGTGATGGAACGGGACAGGGAGGTACCGGGAGGTATGTTGCTGTAGAGCTTTTGCTGGAAGGATTCTCCTGAGCAGCTTAGCTTAGGATTTTGGACTGTTAGAATATACCATTGTCCAATTATATGCATCCAACTTTGGGATGCAATTGCTATTTCATGCAGTTTGTTTTGCACGTTCCATAGTCTATTTGCCATGGGATGTTCAATCTTTGCAGGTCTATACTTGAGACGCATGTATATTGTACATGTAGTAGTACATGTATACATGTACAGTACACCTTACACCCAACAAGGAATCAGCCGTTCTTTTCGCGCCAGGAGCTCACCCGAATGGCCTTAGGAATGCCGGGAGGACCCAGAAGCCTGGGGGGGGTTAAGGTATGCGGAAACCTCACAGAGGAAGGAACCACCTGGTTTCGGGGTGGTTTTTGGGGTTTCAGTTTCGACCTGGTGCTGTTGAAGTCGCACGAAAAGAATGGCCGGGCGCATTCTGGACTCGCTATTGATGCTATGGGTTGGGTGCTGGCCGGATTGTACATAGTGGGACCACTTGAGCAGAAGAACTGAAGACGGCCACCGGTTTAGGTGCACAAACATGGGAGGCTCTTCAGTCTGGAGAGCTTTGGATTTTACCATGGTTTAAGCCTCCAATCAGACACATAGACCCCGAAAAACGTGCTAGACTCTGCTAGACTTGAAGAGCCTCGCCTCACACGTATGACATGCCTCATGGGAAGTACCTGACCTTTTAGAAGACAACGTTTTTTTTGAGTAGGCTGTGACTGTGAAAGGGTCTCTCTGACTGTGTTGAGCCTTGGATGTCTTGATATGTTTTGATGTCCTTGATCTTCTTAGAAGCTTTGGACCTGAACTGTGCTTTCACACGGGGCATTGGAGCATTACTCCAGTAGTGTTTTGCGACGATTTTTGCCTGTACATTTGCACGATCCTCAGGTACTCACCCGAGGCCTACATGCTCATAGTGGACACCTCTGTGATCGCCCCTCGGATGGAACGGTTTTGGTTAGGACCTGCTAACCTGCACAGAGTGCAGGTCCTGGAGGATCACACTTCAGATACTTCAGGATCTACATGCTCTTTGTTTTTGTCGAGGCGTATCAGTAAACATGTCATTGGGTGGTGAAGTCATTTTTTTTCGACCCATGTGACCCATGTGAATGAGCTGCATGATGCGTGAGCTGCCAAACCCTGCCTGCGTTGTTAGTTAAATCGTGTGACGACAAGTCAGGGCACGCGCAATAGAACAGGTGGAATTTCTAGACCGTAGCAATCATTCCCTTTCTTGTTGCGCATCTATGCTTCTTTCGGTGTGTTGGATAACTAAAATGATACTACATACATGGCAACAAGTCTCCCTTTAAGAATTGGTCACCTGCAGGGATCGGTCCTGACATGTGGTTCTTCCTTGACTGGAACGTGGATCGCAATAGATCGCGCTAAACTGGCTGGAGTTCGCTCGTTCGCTCCGTAAGCGGTCAGGTGACGGTCCCCGTATGCATCTTCTTGTTCATCGTGGGCATTTGCCTCACGAACTTGCTCGTGGCCCAGTCTCTTGGCTCCCGGTCTAAGTGGAAGATGGAAGATGCTTTTCCCTCACACGAACACTCAGTTACACTGGTGGTCGCCTTAGTTGGGGCGTTCTAGAGGGTGGTACATCACAGCACTTCACCAGGTGCTCCAAAGGTCCAGAAAGGTCAAGAAAGGTCAAGGACCCAAAGGCAGATCATGTTAGGAATTGCAGTGCTGCAGTGCACAACTTTGAAATCATCATTCTATTGTCAATGGCATGTGTCATATGGGAAATCCGCAATCATTAAGCTGTGCAGCATAGGCTATAGATCCCCTAAGTTTGCCGAACCAACGAAGAGCACCAGCTCCCATTCGACGAGGCTCTCCCAGTCCTATCACGACGCGTATTCCAACATGCAGGGCTATGCGCGCTTGAACCGCGCCAGCATCACTAACACCACGGTGCAGGCCGGGGTGACTTGAAGAGACGATCTCATGTTTGCTGGACCTTGACAGGAGCTAGCACCCATGTGGCCCAGCCACTTGTTCTAAGCCAAGTGCCGCCTTTTCATGCCCGTCATGCCGATCCTTCACGCCCCGCCCTTCTTCACGGAGATCGCTCGCGCAGGGGATCTCCGCGAAGCGTTGGCAGAAGTTCCTCACGTCACTGAAGCTCGACGACCCCTTGGAGTTCAACGAGGGCGACGTGGGCCTATCAGGTGCCATCTGGGGCGTCGTTCTGGGGTGGAGCCAGGAGCGTTTGGGAGAAAAGGCCCCCCCTGGTGGCATGTTGCGACCTGTGTCTTGAGTAGATCGAACAGATTGAGTGATTGCAGGACAAATCCGACCAAGCATGTGTGTAGTGCATTGTAGTGCACGGTTTAAGCTGCGTATGTGGTTTATAACATATTTTTATAACATATCGTTATAAGTTATAACCCTTGGCCACGACAATCACGAAGTCATTACGTCTAATCCAGCAGTCCGCCCTCATTTGTTTGCCGGTCAGGTGGACTGCAAGTCCTTGAGCCGGCCAACGCGCACATCGTCACGGAGGTCGCCAAAAGGGGCTGAAAAAGACCACCCCAAAAAAGAACGTCGATGGGGTGGAAATTTTTATATAGGAAGGCTGCTGAAGTTTGACAGGTCCACCTTGAGTTCAACCCTTCATGTCGATCTTCATCCCTGCTCCATGACTCCCCGTGGTTCACCCGTTCACCCCTCCCCATCTCCAGGACACCATCAAGCGCTTTGGCGGCTCCACCGCGCCGTCGGCGCCGTGGCCGAAGGACGCCACGGAGGAGGAGGAGCAAGACAAGCTGCCACTTGGAGCAACTGACGAAGTGGTTTCCTATAGGGACATGTAGGGACTGAGGGAATGGATCCTGGGGGTTGGACGAAGTGGTGGCACTTATTCTTATGATTTGGCACTGAGTTATTGGGCAATAGGGTCCCTGGTGTTGGGAGCCGGAGTAGTAGTAGGAGGAGGAGTAGGAGGGGCAGTAGTTGTTGTCGTCAATGTGATGAGAGTGATGAGATGTTTGTTTTTATTATATAGTGAATTTTGTCAATTCTGCAACTGCATGAGAGTGAAAGGCAGGCATCAAGATTTCTGCTGATAGCTGACAAGGACCAGCAGCTGCTGATCTCCCCTGTTGGTATTTCTTTGGTTGGACCTCCGTCACAATCACTACAGATGACCAAGCAATGAAGTTGACTGAAGGTACACTGGAATCATGGAAGTGGAAAAATGGTCCCCAAAGGATGACCATTGTGCTCTACAAATAGGTGGTGCCATCCACGAAGCCGTGATGATTCCAGTGTATCTTGGGAATTTGCCGTCCTTTTTGCAAGGTCAGCAGTCGAATGCTTTTGGTGTTGGTCGATGCTCCGGCTTTGCCAGTTCGCACGTGCCCGGTCGCGCCAGGTGGCTCCTGGAACAAAAGCTGCAGAACATCATCAAATCACAAAAGAAAGGCCCTGCATCAAGCGATGATGCCGGCGGACCGTGACGGACCGTGCATACGTAGGCAACAAACAGCCTGATAGGTGGGCAACAAGCTGCAGTACTCCGTGAAATCCATGAAGCCATTTGTTCAGTGAAACTTGGGTCTAGAAAGACAACCATTTCTTTGGGTCGTGCATTACATGGCCCTAATCCATGTCATTGATGCGATAAGTGGCTTTCGAAAGGCGAGCTGAGTCTTTTGTGGTCAACGAAGGTCGACGAGGGACCGTGTTGTTTATTCTTCACAAATGTTGCTGGGTATAGAGCACCGCGGACAATCTGTGCTTACCACCCAGATTGTCCGCGATGTTTCAATGTTCACTGTTTTTGGGCAACTGTTTGGTTCAAAGCAAGTTCATCCTGTTAGCTGATCCTCATGACTTCATTTCCCACCGGGTCCCAACAGACCGTTTTCACCACTCGGTCACCGTTCACCACGCGGCCAGGCCGAAAGAAAGGCCAAAGCTCTGAGGGCTCCATGGCCAGTGGATATGGCAGTGGTGTAAGCTGCTCGATTGGCAAGCTGGGGTTGGGTGGAGTTCAATCTACAGTGGCACAAATGACCAAAAGGTATGTTATGGTATGTTCATAAGGACCCCCAACTAAAAGACATTTTGGCGTGCCAGAGCTATCTACTCTGAAACCAGTGTAACATGATCATACATGATCCAACATGTAGGTCACAGCTGAACGGAGAGCCCAAGAGCTGAACGGAGAGCCCGGACTGCAAGCCACGCGCCCTTGCAAACATGCACTGGACTTATGGCCTAACACCTCCCAGTTTGCTGTATGAACCCCTCTACAAGCAAACTGTTTCCAGTGAGCCTTTGGCCCGAGGTAGCGGCCCGAGCAGTGCCTCCTCCACCTGAGAGCCGGATGTGCTCAAAGATCTCGTTTAGAGACCCAACGGAACGAACACACCCCGGTGCATTCGACCCCGCCTGCTCCCTTTTTGGGGATTCAGCGGCAGGGGCACAACTGAGTTACTGGACAACATATGACTTACATATACATTTTGTTGTTTTGTTTCTGGCATTCCTTGCCACAAGCAAAGAAGTCAAATCATGTCAATTTAATTACCTCGTAGCTCAGCACTTTGGGCATTCTGCCGCCTCCTCGGGCTTTCTCAGAGCACCTTGGCACTTGGAGATGTCCATGCTGCGGTGCAAGGGCAGGTTGGATGCGAGCATGCAAGCATGCCACACTCGTGACAGACCAATAAAGAATGCTCCAAAAGTCTCCAGAATCTTTGGTTGTAGAGAGTCTTTGTGGGAGACGTTGAAACATGTTGAACTCACGTTCGGCTCAAGGGCACCATGTCATTGAACGTCTTTGGTCCCAAACAGACGGATTCTTGTGTAAAATGGAGCTTGCAGTGGAGCCTGCGGATTGTTCCGTGTTTTTGTTCCATGGTTCGATGTTATCTATGATGTACATGATTTATACTCTACTATGTTACCTTTGAGTTTCCTCTCAGCATGCTGATTTGTATCATGGAATTCTACGACATTCCTGTTTGATTGAGAGTTGGGGGAGTCAGGATTCCTGCCTAGGCAAAGGGAAATGGTTTGGAATGGATGCAGAAATTGACCGTATCCGTATCCACAACCCCTCACCCTTTGAGCCAGCTTATTGTTTTCGACATGCGGAATTTTACACACAACACATGCATATATGCATTGTACATGTATGTAGTCACAAGGGCCTCACCTGAGCTCTTTGCTGCTAGAGCTTTGGCTCTTCACCACGAACGGCGAAAACGAACATGCCACGAGCGTTGCTGCCGACGGCTTTTCTGCACGAGCTTAGACTGTGAAGCCGAAGGCACATCTAAGACGGTAGGAGGTTTGGTGGCTGAGGGCCGCCAGGTGAGGGCCACACCTGCGGAGTGAACGACAAGAGCCTGCAAGGCGCGCGTTTGCGAGGAGTGTTCACGCACGCGTTTGCACGACTACCGATTAGCATGCTTAACACTGAGGACAATGGGATATCACAAGAGTCCTTTCTTGGTTCACGACCCTCACAGAAAGGACTATTTGACTATTTCTCTCCATCGAGTCAAAATCCCCTACAGCACTTGACTTAGAAGATGAATGACCATTAACAAACGGAATGTTGAACTGAGTTGCATCATATCCGGACGAGACGCCATATTTGGCATGTAGAGTCATATGATGTGGGCGATTCGCCTCCTGTTGAGACGCGCTCCGCAGCCGTGGCCCAACACCGTGGCTTGCAACGAGATGAGCGCAGATGAGCCCCAAGAATGAATGCGGAAGAGGAGCGTCGAAGAGATCAACATAGATTAACCATGATCAACCTACTGATGGATTAAAGAAGATTGCAAAGCAAACACTTCTCATGTGAACCAGGTTTGGAGATTCTTTCAAAATTCCAAACGAGCTTTGTTTCCCAATCGGAATTGCCTTAAGAGTCTTGGAAGCAGTGCTTGTTGGAGGCGTGGAGGCGGGGAAGCTGCAAAGGGATACCATCACCGCGCGCAGTGCCGGCGCATGTCTCCATGGTCGTGTTATAAGAGCAATGGTCATGGATGGTCCATGGTGAAATAGTCACCATGGTTTCATGATCAAAGTGTATCAAAGTCCCATTGTTGGTCAAATTTGGTGCTGCTTGAATTGGTGTTGCTTTGGTTCTAGGATGTTCTAGGTGCCAAGCCTCCCCCACCACGAAGGGTGTACCGGTGTACTGGTGTTTCTAAGTCATAAAAAGGTAGGAGAGACTGATATCTCCTGAAGAAACATGCAGAAACAAGGATTTGACTTGATATGAACTGCTAGAAGTGGTGGCCCACCCTGAGCAGAATCTGTCAATAAAATGGTGTATGTTGAAAGTCGACACGAAGCAATGCAACATCTCTACTAATAAGTATACTGTATACTCTACTATGTCACTATGTGTTGTTGCTACGTGAGCAATTCATGAACCATGTTTGAGTAGCGTGAGCTCGGAGGGCTCGTGTGGCTCCTAGAGATGGCTCCCAGAGATGGAATGGTGGCCCGTGTCACATGTCTCACTGTTTCGATGCCACAAGGGAATCTGAGGGCTTTGTCACCCTCAGGCCTCTTTGTTTCTCCTTTTGACTCTGTCCCTGCCTTTGCCCTACCTAAGACTGTAAGCATGGTCCGTGGTGACGAACCACGGCGACACCAAGCGTGGTGACACTGCTGCTTAGAAGGTCAGCAGCACCCTTTCAAAGACACATAAAGAGTAGCCAGAATAGCAATTTCATGGCGTGCCTCTACTATCAGTTTACCAAAACAACTCTGTGGGAAGTGCGTGATGTTCAACAGTAAGTTCCAAAAAAGTTTGGAACCCTTATGGTGCCGAGGTGTTTTAAGTCCTTTGTGACATCCGTCCGCGTGGATCCACATAGGTTCGCCGGACCGAGGGGAAACCTCAAGCAGGTTGCCTCCGTGCCCTTAAGGGGCAAAGAGATAGGACTGCCACAGCTGTGGGTTTCAGGCTTCCCCTCCAGCTGCAGTAGATCTGAGATTCATTAGTTGGGCGTTTTACAGAAGGTCTTCAAAGGCATGCACACAAACCGCGTCAAAGAATGTTCTTACAGAACACACATTAGTTATCATTAGTTCATACAGATCGTCATCGCGGCGACGAGTTGCGCAACTTCATAAGCATCGTATCCCACAGCTGTGCCCAGAGCATCCATCCAATTCGCCAGCGGCGCTTGCGGCTTGTGCTAGGGGTGGTTTTGCCCACCAGCCAGAGTGCCCATCACAGTTGAGAAACTTTGTAGAGATAAATGAGATAAAGTATATTCACTCCGAACTAACATGGAAGTGGAACATACGCCCCTGGAAGACCATTTCCACAGGGGGGTCCTGGTCAGCTTCCATGATTGTTGGATAGAGATACGCAATGATCCTGAGGTCCTGTCTCTCCGCCTCACTTCACATCATCGCTGCCAAATATGGACTATATAGAGGCCCTAGGCTTTGCACCAAGAGTTCGGCTTTGGGCAAATGACTTTCTAAAGCCCGACCGACCAGTTCTGAATCATTGCCGTGCGCAAGGAGGAACACTATGATTTTAGCAGCTGCATGGGAGTGTTTTTCCACATGAAGAAGCACCCCTACTGGTTGATTCTTTTCGTGAGAAAAACATGCCAAAAAAAGGGACGAAGAAGCGCCCGAAGACGCGGTCGCTTGGCTTACAATGGCTTGATACCGGTCGACCCAGACCCGAGCAGTTCCAGGGTTCCCGGTGTGTGGGTCATTGCCCTAAGGCTCCTGGCCTACCTCCTGAGGGTATGGTTTGGGTGGGTTTGGGGGGTCCAACCTCCTTCTAAGGATATGGTTGTTGGAGCCCTAGGGCTGGGTCGATCAAACATGTTTTTCTCGGTGGCTGTGGCCACGATTTGGTCCAGCCTTTCTTGGGAGATCTTGCTGGTGAAGCACTGCCAGCCCTCGGAGGTAGGGGGTCTACCAACCACTGCTTGAAGTGATGATGTAGTATTACTTTTTATTATTATACCAAACTACCAAGTAGTTCTGTTCCAAATACTTCAAGTGTGTCTACCATCAGGAAACGGAACACATTGTTTTGAATGATATCCATTGATATCCATTCCCCGTTCCTTTAACATGTTGTTTCTGAGTCTCGGTGTTTGCTTTGACCAGAAGTAGCTTGACTGTAGGCTCCGCCAGATTTTTCAGGTCAACCAGCTTCTAGATATGTTGCTGTGTGCTAATCGACTGTGTATAATGTGGATGCAGAATGCATGTATATACCGCACACTATGATTGACATCGGGCCATGGATTGCTTGGTCACCTATGGGCAAAAATAAGAGCCATCCCGGCCCGCACATCATATGTGAGCATGGCCTCCTTGCGTGGCAAAAAGGAAAAGATGCGTTGCTCAAGGGGCATGGATTCGAGCCACCCAGCCGTGTTCAATTCTCGCAGGTGATGCGTTGCTCCACCTGTTCTTGTTCTTGCCGTCGTCATGGTTGACATTTGAATCTTACAACTATATGTTCAGATTCAGTGATGGCCACCACGATCAATATTGCTTCTTGCACTGGTCTTTGTCTCGTCTTCCGGTTCAGATGCGAAACCTTTTTAACCGTAAGGCAACGTTGATATCAACTAGCACGAAACATGCAATCCCTCCAAAAAAGCAGAGGACATTTGGCCACATCCTGAGCAGAAGGCCCTACATGCATCCTACATGAGTCTTTCCTTTTCGACACCTCACGGAACCTCCGAGAACTGCCGGTCTTGCGAACGCGTTCGGTCGCGCACATCGCACATGTTGAGGCGCAGACCACGCAACGCATGGATCAGTTCTTCCAGTGAGCGGTTTCACGGATCATCTGGTGTCCAGGGGGGACGACCATGTCCAGTTTCAGGGAAGGACCTGGACCGTGTTGCGTGTCAGAAAGCGGGTTGATGAATTCCTCAAGCTGCGGTACTTGGGAATCGTTCAGAGATGTGAAGGAGCCATATGAGACGCTATGATATGATACATATTGTTCAGAGATGTGAAGTTGGAAATTCTTCAGAACCGTCGCTTAGAATTCCTTCCATGAGACCTCAGAATTGTGCCCTTAGGTTACAGCTGGGAGGTCCATAATATGAAAGACATGTCGAGACCCCTGCCATGGCTGATCATCTAAGTGCTAAGTGTCACCCAGGATTGGTTTCCTGCAGTGCTCCAGAGGACATTGCAAAATCAACGTTTGCACGCCGCGTTTGCATCTCCAGCATCCTCGTGTGCTGAAAAAAAATGACCAGGGCTGTTGAACATGTTGAACTCTTCAGCTTGGTCTTCAGAGATCTTCAGACATGTCACTTGAAGTCCCTGTCCCTCGCAGTCGCCAGTGGCATGAGGCCGCCGTGAGGCCACCGGTTGGTTTCCCCAACATCACGTGACTCCACGGGGTGACGCAGAGGAAGCTGGTTGAAGCTCAGCTGATCACCTGTACAGCTCAATGGATTCAACTGGTTCTATTCGATCTGGAATTCCCACATGCGTTCCCTGTAGTATGTACTCTCTTGAAAAGAGTTCTGAGATGGTTTGTGTTTGAGGCCTTTGGGCTCGAGCTGCTTGTCATTGAGGGACGCCAGCACATAATATTAACAACATGACCGCCCTTGGAAGAGTGCAAAGATTTATATACAGTACGACTATTGGTGGCAGAACAAGGGTTGCAGGCTTGTTAGAGGGTGTGTGTGTGTGTGTTTTTTTGGTTTTGATGCCATCAAAAAGTATGTGCATGGAGGCATTGGGTTTGGCACATGTCTGTGAAAAAGTTCCAGCATCGATTCCCTATGAAGTTCCACAAGGACATTAATTTGACATGATTTGGCACTAAGGTTTTAGCAAGTGTTGTGGAGGGCAGTGTTCGAAGGGAAAGGATTTGGTATTTGTGGTTCCTACGGGTTCCAAAAGCAGAAAGCTCGATCTCTTTGCATGGACTTGCCAGGAAGGGCCTCCTTCCACCACAAAGTTCCATGTCCTTCCAGAATGTTTTTGGAAAAGGAACGGCAGAAATCCATCGCGCTAGACGAACACATCAGAAGTTGTACAGAAGTCAAACAACGCTGGTTCTAGATTTTCTGGACAAAACAAGGGCTTCCCTGCGGCCGTGCTAGGTACTTCATCCCACTTCCATTTTAGCATGAGGAAACCCTATCTTTTTTGGCATTGCACTTGGGGCAATGGGGTTCTCAAGCACAAAGAAGCAGGGGTTGCATGGTGGCCCTTCTTTGCAGTAAACAGATGTAAAAAGCTTGTAATCATCCCTAAGGAGTCCTGAGGAGCATGTAGAACGTTGCAGAAACCATACTCCACCACGTGCCGAGCGCCTTAGCCATGGCACCCTGGATACGAGGCCTTCTTCGCGAAGTTGTGAGGGACCCAACCTTTGTCATATTTCTTCCAACCAGCCGTTGGTTCAAACAAGAGCTCCCACCAGTCAGCGACATTCCTTTAACCCCAAAATTCAGATTCAGCTTGCACCAGAGTTTGAAGGAAAGCTCGTGAACATAGTTTCTAGGCAACCAGATGGGAAGAATTGCCCCTTCCAACAAACATTGAAGTGGACAACCTTGTGAGGAAGCCTCCCCTCCACCCAGCACCATCGCCAACCACTGGCACGCTCCTTTTCCTCGTTCCTCTATATTATCATTGGATTGTGGAGAACTTATAGTTTTTCTTTTGCACTTTTCAAGCCTTTCAGCCTGGCTACATAATAAATTTTGTTATCCCAGTTCTCCCACAAGTTCAATTTAACTACCAGGACTACTTTGAGACCATGTTTGTTCTTTTCACTGGTCCCTTTGAACCTCGGAGACCACTTCACTCGGGTCGAGGCGCCCTGCTAAGCCTCGCACCTCCAGAGCTCTTGGGTCGCCCGGCGAACTGGGCCACAGGCTTCGAAGTCCGAGGGGCATCTTCGGGGGGGGGGGCGCTTTTCTTGTGGGGTTCTCTTTTTGAACACGACACATGCACTCGGCCGTCCTGGCCTTGGCGGACCCTCCTGGGCCCAGCCTTCTCCCTTTGCGCTCGCTGCCCTGACCCCGCTGCGGAAAAAGGCGCGAGAGGAAAAACAAAACACATCAAAACAGAAAGAGAACAGGAACATGCATCACTTGGGACCCCCAAGTGATGCAAGTGTTTTGTTGCAGAAGGTGATGCATCGGATGTTCACATATGTTAACACCCAAGGAGCATGAGCGATATTGAAATGCAGTAAGCAAGCAATGCTGATGGATTTGGCTGATGCGCATGCCGCACGCTGAAATTCCAAAGCAGCCAAACTGGCGGCTCCAATGAATCACTTGATGCCCATACTTATAGTGACTCTAGTAAGCCTTGATCCCCAAATAGATAACTGAAGCCCCTTATACATTGTTTCCGCCTATTTAGGGGATGAAAGATCTGTGGCCGTCTACTTAGGTGTTACCTCTGGCCGGAGCCACTTACTGGTGCCTGTGTCCCAGGACCGGTAAGGATGTTGGAAAGCTTCGTTGGCTGCCTTGGCTCAGAGTGGAACGGGTAAGAAACCCCAGCATCTTGTGCCACTGCGGCACTGGCTGGATTTGGATGTTCCTTGAGGCAACCAGACCGGTGAGGACATGGTTATTCAATGTTTTTTCGTGTGTTTACCGTTGTCAAAGCACTGGAAAATCCTCGTGGATGTTTTTTGCACACTTGACAGATCGGAGGGTTTGTCCTAGTAAACTGGAGCCCAGTCGGTAAAAGGTCTTAATATCACTATACTTTAGAGAAAGGCATGTGCCTGCAACCTAACGATCATCATCCACTGGGCCCTGGTAAGAGGATATACTCCAAATACAGTATATCTCCAACAGCACATTGGTCAACTCTTGGAGCTTCGAATATCCACCCCTGGGAGGAGACGAACTCCTATGTTCCTTGCTTTGCCTTCTTTCTGTTCGCCAGGACTTGTCGATCGACTTGTTGGAGGCTGGGCTTTCTGAACAAGACGCTTAGCTTGCGCCAGCAATTGCACACTTTCTGGGTGAGGCACCTACTTCATGTTTGATCATGTTTGTGAATTTGGATTCCTGTCAAGGCCTCAATATTTGTTGAAAAAAGGGGAACCTTGGAGTATCTTGGAGTCATTTCGCCAGCACGGCTGGCCAAGGAGCGTTTTGTGGATGCTGCTTTGGATGCACCGGTGGACTTGCCCGTGGCAGCCGCCGCCAGCGCCTAGGTCGGCAACTCACAGCAGTCATATCCGATATCCGCTTCACAGCAGTCATATGCGTCTGGAACATTCCTGTAATGTAAGGGTGGAGTTTCAAAGTGAACAGGTGAAGTAACACACGTTAAACAACCTGTTAAAAACCACAGGATCCGAAAGAGCCAGCAGCACTGGATTCTCATTCCATCCTGAGTCATTCTACATTTCTTCCTCATGGCATCCCTGCCCGCATGGTGCCCTAGGTGATCCTTACGGTGTGGTCTTGTGGCCTGCTGCCCAAGTGGTCGCTGCTGTCCTGGTGGCGCTGCTGTTGAAGGACGCAACGCGATGAGCTTGGAACATGGCGGGTGACTGTAGTCCAAATTAGGGGAAAGGCATTGCATGTGATTGAATCGGTTATTGTTTGCTTGTATATGCTGTAGGCAATTAACATGCAAATTAAACACATGACATGTCTCTAAATAAACATCCTGTACTGAGGCTCTTTTGATGTCAACCGCTTTTTTAATGATGTTACAGTTACAAGCCGCTGCAAAATGAGTTGGTGTGGTGGGCAGACTGACCAAGCTTGCAGCCTAAGAACATGCAGATGTTCGACACAGTGGCCATTTGAAGACTGCAGTGTGTGAATCTCACCTTGCGTAAGCCCACCCAAAACAGTATGTATGCAGTATGTATTGCTTGGATGGCAAGTGCATGCGCACTTAACATGTTGATACGGGTTCGTTTTAGATCACTCTCGATCCGTTCTTGGGACAGCCATCGTCGGACGCCCCAGGACTCCTCTCGCCGCCACGTCCTCGAGCTTGGTTCCGGCACCGGGCTTTGTGCCCTCTCAGCCGCCGGCCTGCAGCCAACGGTGCCCCCGGGCGGAACGGTGGCCGTGCTGGCCACGGACTACCGGGAGGAACCGCTGGAACTGTTGCGGCAGGTGGGGATGCGCGGGATGAGATGGTCAGTGGGCAGGAGCCTTCGGTGTTGTGCTTTGACCCGGGTCGGATGGAAGGAACTTGTATTGACTCAAGCAAGGACTGCCAACGGACGGAAGTACGTGACGGAAGCGCTTGTTGTTTTCGTTTTGATGAATGGGTGTTGCTTCAACGGGTGAGGCGGTGCCGTTGAACGAACAGCGGCTGGGACAGCCCTTGGAGATCGCCACGCGCTGTTTGGATTTCACCTGTGAGCCCTTGCCTCACACGGCCGCTTCGGCATGCGCTTGGCATATGCCTCCACGGGGAATCAGCGGCTTTTTGTTAGTAGCATGTTTAAGCCTCGATCCTTGTTGAAGAATATTCATGGTCCCACAGGCCCATGGGCAACAGAAAAAGATGGTTTAACTAACTACGCAAGCGCTTGGTGTCCTCCTGGGAATCTGTTAACGACTACAGTGACTACAGTACCTCGGCTTCATGGATAAACTATGATCAATGATAAACAAATAGTAAGTAGTAGTAGCATATGTTGCATGAGAATGTGCAGTGTAGCTCCACTCCTCCGCTGGATGGAGGCAAGATACTGGACATTCCTGGACGAGACAATCCATGCTTTTTTGGAGGAGATGTCTAATTTCAATAATTGGTCAACACAGTTGAGTAGTGTCCCGATACTTCTCGAGTTGGGGATTATAGCTGGATGTCCGATAACTTCCCGTCTACTTTGTTCACACTGGATGACACTGGCCAACCGAGCTTGCAGATTGTACTGAGCTGCCTTTTGTATCCATTTGACATTTTGTCAAGGCTGTGAAGGAAGGTGGAAATGTAACAGCCAGCAGCCAGCACAAAAGGATAGAAACTGAATGACGCTGAAGCAGAGGTCACTTCACTCCACTTCGGAAGTATGTTTGTCTTGTTCTCTCGCAGCAATACCAACCAAACCTTTCAGCTTGCATGTGTTGAGCGACCTCACCCTGCGACCTCATCACCCAGGACGTCCTGGTGGCCGCCGACCTGCTGTACCTTCGCTCTACCTCCGAAGCACTGGCTGCAGGTGTGGATGGTGTGGGAAGCACCGTAACTGTGCCATTAGAGTCCTAGAGCCGAGCAACATTCCTCGGTGAAAATGAGGCAAAATCGGAGAGGTGGATGGGATCAGTCATATGAATGAAGACTCATGAAGTTGGTGAGTCAGTGAAGTCCAGGGAGTTGTTAGGTGAGTTGTGCATTGTGCAGATTGGGTTTTGGAGGGAATCCCACAAAAAGGAGTTAGAACTTAGAAGTTTCTGTTGAGACGTTGAAGCCGATAGAACGCGTGCCAGGATGCCTCTCCGCGCTCCAACATGGGGCCCATGTCTTGGTGGGAGACCCTCAGGCTGAGCAGGATATTGATGTGTTGAGAGATTGACGGGACTTTGAACTGCCTGGTGGGACTTCAGGAGGGTTTGCGGCTTGACAGTTTGTTCCACCGTACTTTTGCGTGCAGCCTGCACCAGTTCAGGCAAGTTTGCTTGTACCATCTCCAACTGAATGTTGGCTAGCCAATAGGTCCCACAGGGAGGTAGTCTTGATAGGGCAGGCCACTCAAAAAGTCATTATCTACAGTGGTTTCAGAGGTTCGATGGCAGAGACCTCAAGATGCTGTTCTTTACATGTTACATGGGAGTTCATACACACCACCTCTTGGGGTCTGTGCCATCTACTCTCAATCCACATCAATCCACAAGACATCGAGAAGAGTCAATTCCAAAACGACAAGGCGGTTCACGCTCGCTCTACCGTTCGCTCAGGACACCCAGCGCCCGGGGCGGCCCTTCTTCCTTCGTGCGCTGGCGCATGCGCTCGGGAAAGCGGTGCACTTCGAGACGGTGGAGGGATGGAGCTTAGCGCTGCCGAGGAAAACGGAGCCGCGACCCGGTCGGTGCAGAAGCTTTGAGGGCTTCTTGGAGAGGAAAGGAAACACCGCCGGGTTGGCCACGTGCCGAAGAACTGGATTTGGAAATGTTCATGAGGGCTGAAATGTATCGAAATGCTGCTCAAGTGGGATCCTTCATGAGACGACTGCTGTATGATCTGTATGGATTTGTTGCTATTCAACCAGTTGGAGGTACCGCATGCGGTGTGCAGATGACAGGGAGAGCCTTCAAACAGTTGACTCTTGTGGCAAGGTCCCAACAACCCAGTTGGATGAATATTAATGCATATCCTACCGGCTCACGGCATATGACACTTGGGAGGATGTTGGAGCTGCCCATGCAGCACCCCCACAGATTTTGTTTGGGGATTTGTGTGGCGTACAATGGCGTACAGCAGGCACGAGCTGATTGCCTCCACGACGACCGCGGCCCCACGCGACTGGACAGCGGTTTAGGTGAACAGACGCCACGGACACAGCAGACCTGTTGGTCAATTGATCCATGTGACCGGAAGGCTTGCAAGCTACAGTAGGATCCACTGAGTAGGTCGCAAATGGCCACATATGATCACATATGCATAGGTGCGGACATTAAGACTTGATATGACTTAATGTAATTAATATGTAGATTAGATGATCTCAGTTGGAGTTGGCCCAAGTTTTGCTAGATTTAAAGCTGTTGTAAACTTCATGTCAGGCGTTTCGTTGGAGTAAGTAGGGAGCCAGCTGAGGTCCGCAGCAGGTCGGCTTGCTTTACTTGACGCCAGATGACCTTGCATAAAAAGACCGGCTTGACCAGAGGTCGACTCCATCGACTTCAGTGATGTTCTTTTGCTCTGCGATATCATACCCTGCTGGAGGGAGATGTGGAGTCCGAGTCGGAACGCCCATGTCCTTCAAGTAAAACGGAGACATGTCCTTTGCCTCTCTTGCCAGCATGGTGCACAACGTGTGCATGACATTAAGTGCATAGCTTTGCAATTTGCTGCAAATAGAATCGAAACTTTTCCAAATCCTACAGAATCAACAACGACAGCCTGAAGCTCAAGCCAGACCAAAGGGATCCCAGACTAAGAAACTCTCACTTTGATGTAGTACTTCCAGAAGCTTGAAGGCATCGCAGCGGTATCAGCGTGCCGTTTACTGCAAAATGTCCAAGTTAAATAGGTAATTACTCCTGCTGGCCTTTGTAAGGCAGTGACTTGTGAGAAGTTGGTCCAAGACCTAGATCAAAGTCCGCACATGGAGATTTGCCACTCATACCAAGGCCCTTTGTATCAATACGCATGCTGCATGAACTTGGCATAGTACCTGACCCCCTCTCCGGTGCAAAACACATTCAAAAGCCACTAACGGTCACAGTTCGTACCGCGGAACACCGACCACCAACCACACCGGTCTACCGGGCGACCCGCCGGTCTACCGGGACGCTCATGGCACCGTGGCGACCGGGCCGTGTCGCCCGACCGCTGCTGCTGTGGGCCCTGGCATGCCTGGCTGCAGCGATGAGGCGAGGCACAGTGAGGCCGCAGTCAGTATACTGCATAGCTTTTGCTTGGGCAGAAGCTGGGGCAAGGATGAAGGTCGGAAAAACGAGGGCTAGGGGAATCCACAGGGCGGTTTTGGAAAAGACGCTTCGGAATGGGAGTAGGAATGGGAATCGCCGTAGATATATAGTCCAGCTATGTCGTGGAATGGGTGCTGCTGTGTCGTGTGACGTGGATGTGGGTGATATCGATTCAGCGCCCCATCGATGATCGCTTCAGTCGCTTGACTGCGGGCAGATGGTCGACGCCCATCAACGCCCCGGAACGGTCCTACAATTGACTGGCTCAACGAGAACGAGGGAAGGAAGACAAACTAAGACAAACATGCTGTAGGGCCTGTCAACTCAACCAGTAAAACCTACTCATGAGAGCCTAGCAAACCAAACACCCATCCAACGACATTTGGTTTGGTCCACATTCATTTGGTTGGGTCAAACACCCATCCAAACACCAGCAATGGCCATCCAACAAATGCATCTCATCCTCATTTGCCACACCACGCATGGTTCCAGGTCGCCGTTCCGGTCGCCTTGTTGGGCACAGCTGGGCCGCCGCCGCTCGGAGAGGAAGAGTCAGAAGGGGGCCAGGGGTGGAGCCAGCGCCCGTTTCCCCACTGGAAGTGGATGGTGGATGGCCCCGAAAGGAAGACTACTTTCCTCCACTTGGAGTGGACTTACCCTACCAGGGCTATAACTCCACCGTATGCCAGCTGGTGCAACAGGGAATGAGATGGAATGGGGAATGAGGAAAAATAGCCGCAGCCTGCCTCCTGGCCCACCCTCATTCTCCACTGGGAGTGGCAGTGCTCCAAGTCCCAAATGTTTGTGGGGGCCCTCCAAAATAGCACAGAGCACCTGAAAAGGATTCAGCACAGTGCTCTTGAGGCTGGTGGAACTTGAGATGATGCACAATGATGCTTTCAATGAGCGTATGCCACAATGTAGCACAAGGCCACCAGGGTGTTCACTTTCAGACGACGTGCTCCTTGATACTGGTACTTCATCATGTTCCACCTCGTTGTCCCACCAAACCAGTGGTTTTGAACCCTACAGCCCTGCTACATACCATGACATAGTTAACCTGGAGCTTGCAATGGATTGAGCATTTACTGCTTGTTTTCAAACTATGAATCTGATCAATTCCTGAAATATGAAATGAGAAAACACAATTTAGGAGAATATCATAAATGTATATTAGAAGTTGCCTGGAACTGGGGCTGGAGACTCAGCCCCACACTGAGGTGCTGCAGCCGCAGCGTTGTTGGCTCCAGTTGTGCGGCCGCAGGCACGCCCTGTCGGCAGGTGGCTGTTACAAATGTCCGTGCATGACTCTGTATACCACAGGGCTCCAATCACCTCCTGGCCGAGACGATGTTCAGATATGTCAGATCGATGATATGTTCTTGAGTTGTAAGCTGCAAGACCATTTCTTACTTAGTTGTACTCATTTGTTACTCTGAACATGGAACAGTGACGAGAAAGATCCCAAAGCTCCTGCACACGCAGGGGACCTGTGCGGTTCTTGTGCTGTTCTAATTCAAGCTGGTTGTAGAAGTGAACCTCCATTAATCGGTGTGTCAATCCCTTCTGTACGGCTTGGTTGCTTGGCATTTTGCCTTTTGGCGGGCAGAAAAAGAGCCTGTGACGGAAGGTGAATCTACTTGCGCATATTTGGTAAGGTCCGCAAGGAATGTACCCAGACATCTATCTAGCTACCAGAAGCTTTTGGGGCTAGAGGTAGAGGCTTTACAAGATACAAAGTTTATCATTGGACGGCTTGGTTGGCCATTGTAGATGGTGGGACCCCAGTGGGGCGAGCGGGTCAGCACCAAGCACACCATGATTCATGTTGCAAACAGGATGACTCCTATTGCTAGCTGCTTCCAGGGGCTATCTTGCATTCAGGGCCTTGTTGAGTACTGTTTTGACTGCCTCACTGTTGGCATTCGGTGACGACAGGCCGTCCCGCCGACCGTCCCGGTCCAGGCGGTCCACGCGGTCGCCTCGGCGGGCGAGATTCCTTGGGGGGGAGCCGAAGCGCGCGAAGACCTCCTTGGCGTCGCTGCGGTTGAGAAAGGTGGTCGATGGAAGTCGGGGAGCAGCTGAGGACGGGAAGCCTCAGATGCTTAATAATAGTTTGTGTTTGATTTTTGCTTTGGGGAGTGCCGGATTTGTTCCATCAGCTGTTTTGGGAGATGTGTGCTCATATAAATTAATGCAGAGGTGCAAGGAACACTAACAGAGCTGTGAGTCTGTGAAGGAAGAATTGGACATTTGCAGTTTATCCAACCCAACGGCTCAGACCTCAGACCACACCCTTCTAGAAGCCAAGCCCCAGTTTCATGGCACGCCTATATACCTGTTCTCCTCCTCTACCAGGTACCAAATGCCTGTCCGTCAGTCTGCTCAGTCCGCCAACCCTCGCTCCGCCAACCGGGTCGTTCCGGCACCGAGGCTCCTGGCCGATGAGTTCACCCGCGCCTTTCAGCGCACGCAGTGGGGCGTCAACGGCCGCGTGGAGCCGAAGTTCTTCGATGACAACTTCGTGTTCCGCCACCTGGGCTGGTCGTTTTTTCCTGCTGAAAGGCACTGTGCTTCAGCTGGGATGTTTGGGTTATAGCAGATTCAATATGATGGAATTGCATAGGGGGTTGTTCATTTTCAAGGTACGGTGTGGTCTTCAAATTCCAAGAGTGGTGATAAAAGTTAAGTTGCATATAATTATCATGCTTTGTTTGACTGTATTGTTCTGTTTGGATTGATATTATGTGAAGGGGTTTGACCTCTTAGATCTATGTGTTAAGTTCACTTGGCAAGCCAGCGAACAACATTGAGAGGGAGAGAGAGAGGTCAAACACACCACGGAGGGACTTTCATTCAAAACACTGAGTTAGAGTGCCCGCATCCTCGTGTTGGCATTCAATCAATTTGGATAGTTTGGATGTTGGTGTGGCTTCGTATCTTTTTGCTTGTGTTGGCTGTTGACATCGTTGATCCTTTGTCGCCTGAGAGCAAGTGAGGCGACCCAGACGTGACCACCAATGGCATTCAAGCGTATTCCAAAGGCACCTGAGTCTGATCTCATATGGCCGCTTTGCTGTTTGGAGTAGGTTTGCGGCAGGTGTGAAAATTTGTTTGCAAGACCTTTGCAGCAAGTTGCGGGTGGATCAGATTGGAAGGCTCGAATACTTTGGGGGTGTCGTATTTACCTGTAAGTAACAGTCGGTCAACAAGCACATCACTATATAGGCCTGCGGCGATGGAACACACTGGGCATCATCATCCCCTCATATCCACTCATAAGGCATCATCCATTGGGCGCCCTTGGGCCCACGGAATAGGATACACGATGGATACACCATGATACGTGTTTGACCAAGGCACCGGAGCGGTGCTCTCCAACTGCCAGGCGGATGCCATTGCTGCTCGGCACCAGATGGCTGGCTGGTAGTGTAAGATTCCCCGAAGACAACCAACCAACCATGGCCTTTTGGGTGGGAATGACAACCAGGTCCAACGATGTGCAGCTGGGCGTTGGACCGGTGGACCCGGAGCTGGGAAGCGGGTACCGCTTCGCCGAGGACGTGCAGCTCTTCGAGCCAGATCGCTTCGCCATCCGCTGGCGCATCGCGGGGACGGCCAACGTGCCCTTTCCCGGGCTGAGGATTAAGCCCTACATTGTGACCTGGCAGTCCACGCGGTGCGGCCATCAGATTGAATAGATGATGTTTCATTGAATTAGGTATATAGAGATGGTAATTTGTTGGTATGAACTCCAGGGCTAGAACGAGAGAAGATGTCGGATGATAGAGGAATCGAGGGCAGGATGGGTGTGTTTTTTGAGAACATCATGTCAAGGTTTTGACCGCTAAAAGTTAGGATATCGGAGAGGAATGCGTGACAAATGCTTGATGGAAACAGGGGATAAGCACTGCCTTGAGTGGCCTTAGCTCTATTCTTCACTACTCCGGCCTCAGCAGCCTCGCGGTCCCAGGTCACCAGCACCTTCACGGTGAACTCGCAGGGCCTCGTGGACTCGGAGACTGATGCTTGGAGGGTCCACGCGTGGTGGAAGACGGGACGAAGCGGCGAGTCAGGAGTCATGAGGGCCTGTTGGGGCCGGCCGTCACGGGATCCTGGAAGCCACTGATGTGGCTTTGGGGGTTGAGGTTTCCGCCTGTGGCGGTGGTGGGGAGTTGCGGCAATGGTGGCAGTATATAGCAGTATAGGATATAGATGGATAGAGTATGTCTGACAGACACATATAGTTCTACAGTCCCATGGCGCATGAGGAGTGCATTGCAGATGCCATGCTAGCTCCTTGTGGGTAGCAGGGTAGCTTTAGACTTTGGCTGTTCAGATGCTTGGATCGGCTGACTTCCACCTGAAAGGCATGCACATTTAGACAGGAACATATGGTTCAACAACCGCTTGAACCTTACTTCATCGCCTCAAATTCAAAGAAAAACTGGTTCTTTCATGTTCTTTAGAGTTCAAACAAGGGTGCCCCAAAAACACTTGGAACAACCTTTGAAGCTACTTGCATTACTTCCTTTGGACACATTTGCTGCAAAACTCGAGATGAAAACCATACCATATCCACTCCACCCCTCCATCCACCCCTCCATCCGAGGATAGTTTCTCGATCCCCACCTGGGATCTGCTGCTCTCCGCCGTGGCTCCCTGGCTGCCCGGCCTGGCGCCGCCGGAGCCGCCGGTGCAGTCGCCCTATGCCTAGCGGCCTAGCTCGGTGGGACGGGACGGGGGGATGACGTGGAAACAGGTGTTTGGGGGTGGGGGTATGGGGAGGAACCGAGGATTGGGTGATGAGATGAGGATGAGTCGGTCGATGTGGGGAGAGGGTATCATATCACCAGAATGCATCACGAAGCACTAGATTGTCCGTTGACCTCGGCAGGCGGTCACAAAGAGAGCATGTAACCAGACCCATGAATGTGTATATGCACATAGCTTAAGATTTTAGAAGGATCTCCTTTGCCAAGGCCAAAACATGCCAAAACCGAAGCTATCCACTCTTTGTTTATTCCCCTGTGAGCTTGCGCCACTCCTTGCCAGGGCCGAAGAAGCTATGGATGGAACGCGAAAGAGGCCAGCTCAAGAAAAGAACAGAGCGCATCGGAGGTGCCAGCAATATGCTTTGCACTACTGAACTACTTGGTCTTAGTCCCCGTTGGTGCAATTCCAGTTGCTAAACAAGAATCAGAAGGGGTGCGTTGTGATTGCATATCAACATACCAACTGCACGGTGTGATTCACTTAAGTTACACAACTATGCGAGTCTTGATGCTCAATTTGTTTTTGCACGTTGCACCCATGGACCCATGGTTCATTTAGGCTCACCTTATCGAATCCTTGTATGGAGGAGAGAGTGCACAAAGGCGGGAAAGTTTATCGGATTTTGTGAATACCGGCAACTCAGAATATAGTCACTAGATTTCATCCAGCTGGCAGCACTCCCTTTGGCTCAAACTGCGATATGCGGCGTGCCAAGCTATCTGGACAAACCTGGTCCTGCAACTTTGATCATTCACAACATTTCAAATTTTGACAATTCGCAACGCGTTGGAAACATGGAGCCAAAGCCCGTAGGCCACCAATGTTTGAAATAGCAGGCGTTGTCCCAACACCTGCTGATTCTGAGAAAGTTGTATTTGATGTGGCAATTTTGTGTGTTTTAAGTTTTGAAGGTGACTGGTGATCATGCAGGACTGGTGTGCATGTGGGCTGTGGGCTCATGAAGTTACACAAGCAAGTTTGGCCAAACTTTGTACCCAGAGTCACTTGTCCCTCGTGTCAGCTCTTGTTTTGGAGGAGTGAGGGCTTAGAGTCGAAAGATTGGATGAACGCCGGCGACTCAGACCTAGATGCACCAAAAGGCCTATATACAGTATATAAAATAAGTGGACGGCTGTGAACTAATTGCGGGTTTACCATTGTTTTGCGGCCCCCCGTGGAGCTTAAGGATGCCGATCTCGTGGCCCGACCTCCGGGCATCGGAGGCCTTCAAGTCGCGTCGGAACAAGGGTCAGGACCTCCTGTGTTGGTTCCACCTCACAAGAAAGTGTCAGCGGGTGCAGGAAGATGAAGTGCTCCACCTCTACGGCCGGGCAGTTTGGCCCTCAGAGGATCCATTGTAAGACCAGAACATTCCAAACCTAAAGCTTTTGAAGGTCTGAGCAACCACGCCACAGCAATTGTCAGTCACGGGCGGGTCCCAAAACGAAAGTGTGGGCACAAGGTGTGTTCGCAATAGGAGGAGAGCATGAGCATTCTCATGCGAGTTGCAGATGATTGTCAATCTCACCAACCGTATTCGGAAACTCTGACAAGGCTCTATGTTGGGTAAACAGCAAACCCCATTCAAGCAATTGACGTGGTGGGTGAGAATTCCAGGCCTTCAACCAGTGGCGTTTTTTGGAAATCATAGCATTTCAAGGCCTTTGAGGTTCCAACGTGTTGTTTTGGTGAGCAACTCGTCCCAACTCCAAGCTACTCTCGATCATCCAAATTTGGTTCTCTCACCGCCTTGGTTCAGTTGTGCGTGATCATTCAACAACCAGAGCTCGTCCAATTGTCATGAATTTGCAGGCAAGGAGCTCAGGCGAGAGGGACTTCTTGACAATTCATTACAATTCTGAGTTTCTGGAAATCTATCCGCTATGGCTGCAGCGAAGACTCAGCAGCTAGGCCGCTTGCCACTTTTGGAGAAGGTGTTGATCATCGTCCCACACTGAGATGGAGTTCAACTTTCAACATGAGTGTGCAGTACACTTTAGTGCACACTTCCTGAAACTCCATGAAACTCGCAGATGTGATACTAAAGATAAGGATGCGTTGAAGCAACGACTGAATGACTCTTGAAAGGCACGGGCTGGGTCCAGTGTCAACCTTCAAGATTTACATGTGCCTACTTGTGTTTGTTGAGACTGGTTATCCTCCGCCTCCACACGTTTGCAGTTGTTTCAGGAGCTGGCTGGCGACGTTCTTGTTTGTGCGAAACTGCCAGCGGATGCGCACGGAGTGCCAAGTTACGCTTGAGCTGGACTGCCCTGTTGCCGCATGTTTGACACAGTTTACTATGTGAAAGTGGAGGTGTTTGTCAGACAAATCATAAGATATTGGAAGATTTGAAGGATACATTCATTTTTGCTATTTGCTATCATTAGACCAAAATAGGAGGAGTTTTCCCAATAGCCCGTGACTCTGAACTTATTGGATCTTGTGGCAAGCTTTGTGCAAATGACTTGTGGAAGACACGCGGTTTCCAGGTGCGGTTTCCAGCTTTCCTCGACCAGTGCTTTCCAGGACAGCGAGAAGTCGGAGAAGACGGCGAGAATGCCAGCGACTCAGACTGGATCCATCAGGTTTGCTTTACTGTAGTAATACTTGCACGCTTGGATAACTATTGACAATTGAGTGATTGAGTCTTTTGCATGGTTATGTCCAACACCGGTCCTAGCAAGAGGAACTCCCTGAAAACTCCCGCCTCAATCCGCGGACCTTTTCAATCAGGCAAGGTGTGCTAGACCAGAGGTCGAGTGAAAAGCATGACATGCAACCTGCATCAAACTGCCATGACCAGCATGGCCCACCTCTGAGCTGCCCGCCACGTGCCCGCCGCGCGTGCAGGAGGATGTGCTGCAGCTCCAATGGCCCAGGGTCCCCAAGAAGTGCATCCGGATGGAACAACTGCAGGCGGATTGGACCGGACGGGGGTGTGGTGGGCTGTGGTTCCAAGACATGAGGCCCAAAAAGGATTGAAGCCAGAAGATTCATTCGAACCCGCTGATGGTCTAACCAGCCACATGGGGGCACCATCAGGCGTTTGCCACGTTAGCTATGCCAAGAGTGGAGCACCACACATCAGCTCACGAAGGTTTGGAGACTTGATGCTGTTACACCCCTTGCACCTTCACCGAACCACCAGGGTATGCCCAGGTAGGATTGGTTGGCGCTTAGAGAAATCTTCAGGCCAACCTCAATCGTGAAGTGGAGAATTAGATATGGATCCAGCTCATGGATCCATGGGAGATTTGCAGGATCGTCTATTGCTCAACTAACTGAGAGTCAGAGCCCGCTAGAAAACTACAGGATAGTGAAATGATGTATAGAACATTATAGAACGGAATGTGCAGCGATAGTCAAACTATGTGAAACTATTCTACAATGGAAGATGCGCCTGATGCGCTCGGATGTTCTACAGGAACAAACTCCAACTTCCATCCCCACCTACAAGGGCGTGCTGAATCCCACGCGTGTATGCCGTCATAGCTGGGAGAAACGCCAACATTGCAGGGAACAGTTCCCTGTGACACGAAGCAGTACATTGAACATCATTGAACTTTCCACCTGTGCATACCTGTGCGGCTTGTTGCTTTCCGGCTTGGTCCAGGGGAAGATTCATGACCGGAACCTTTGCCTCTCATTGGCCTGAGCCCACAGAAAGACAGAGAGGGTGACCATCATCAAGCTCAAGGAGGGGTCTAGTAACAACACATGTACAGCAACACTATGTAACACTTAATTGTATACCTGTTGCTGCCTTGTTTGAGTTCATGCTGTCTGGTCATGGGACATTAGAGGATTTCACTTCCCCTCCGCTAGGTTGCACCTCCAGGAGGCTGCGGAGAAGTTGCGATGAGGCCCGTACCGAAAGATCAAGCAGCAGCTTTGAGACTTGAAGAGCTTATACATGCTTTTATATATACAATGTGGCAGATTAGATTGGTGCAAACAGGGAATTTGTGAATCGCAGGGTTCCAAGGACACATCAAGCGATTTCGATCAATGGCTGGAAGCAACAATCAGGTGGGACATGTCAGTCAGTTGCATGTGTTCTTTAGACTGACTTCGCCCGCCCGAATCCATTGCTGAAAGTGTTGAGTGAGGCGGAGCCCTTTTCGGCTCAAAGAAAGCCGAGGGTGAAGCACACGAGGGAGAACCCGCTGAGAGCAAACGATTTCTAGGCCACTTACTTTGACACCACAAGAATATACAAGAATCACTGGCCCAATGTACGCCGGACCCCACACCACCTATTATATATTAGTACCCACAACCCCACCAGCAGGCAACAACCCCAAAATAACACATTTGTACTACTGATCCTCGAACCCAGCCCCCTGTCTCTCACGGTGACCGACTGACCTGCAAGCCAAACGGGTTCACTCCAGCATGGCCCTTTGCTCTGGACGAAAGGCCCACTCAAAGGCCACCCCCTCGGCATCACCGCACAGTGGTCCTCGGGAGGAGCACGACAAGGGCGGTGCCACCGGTCCTCCGAGGGAGGAACAACCAAAAATGCCGGCAGAACTGGAAGGGCCGGAATGGATGCCTGGATGAAAACTAACGGCCCTCCGAAGGAGCAGAAGCATTCAGTCATAGAATGGAAGCTTGAATAATGGATTGCACGGATATATCGAGCACCATTTACGCAAGCCGCGGGATGTCGAATTTTGTTGCTGACCCGAGGAAGCAGAAGTGGCAGAGAGTGTTAGACGAACGCTGCAAGGAACTGAAGGCGCATTCTGAAGCCCTGATCGTGTGGTTGTTTCATTGGGCTGTTCAACACACAATGTTCTACATCAGTTCAATGTAGACCAGCATAGGTAGCATGGAACGAGTTCCTCAAAACCATTTGAACCTAGTTACGGTTCTTGTAAAGGGCTTACACAGAAGTGTGTGGTTGGGAAATGGGCTTCTATTTTGACCTTATCTCCCATCTCATTTTGATTTTGCACTCTAACCGTAACGCACCATGGTTGCATTATGTTGCATTTGTTTCAATCAAGTTGGGGCCGACAGTGGTTTAGAATCTTACATCATTTGACATTGAGAATGTAATAATGGATTTTGCGTGTTGTTTGATTTCTCGCCGCCCTTTGCTTGTGCCAAGCTTCACTGCTCAATCATGCTCAACCGGTGCCAAGCGGGCCGCAGGGTCAGGCGAAGTACCTGAAGGTTGACAAGGAGGTCCTCGAGCAGGTCATTTCTGGAATTTTGCATGCCCTCAGCAAAACTTTGTTTTGTTTGGCTGTTTGTTTGCTTTGTTGGCCTGCGAGGGTCAACTGCCTACAAACCTTGCAGTAACTTCAGGGCGAGGGTGTGATCGGCTGAGGAATCGAGGACCGAAGGGATCAATGCGAGGGCTGCCACTTGCTGGAACGATTCCGCATCGTGGATGACACCAAAAGACATGAGGGTGTCAAAAAGAAAGATGGGCATCAGGAGTGGGTGTGCTGCCGGTGCTTGGACTCTTGCAGTCCCCAACATGGGAAAGGACCCTATATTATTTCTGTATTGAATTGGTGGCTGTTGGAAACTCAAGTTTTACGTTTAGAACGTCAACCTGATGGTGTTTGGTTTGGCGGAGGGCTTGC